ATGACTGATCTAGTGAGTATATGACGAGATACAAGTTTCTAGATCTTTACAAGTTGTGTTCAAGTTCCGTCATTGTCTATTGGGACTGAAGGCACTGACCGGTGCGCTGGTAATTTGTGCAAGCAGATGATAACAGCGCAAAACAAGGCGTCATAACGTGAGGTCTGCTAGGTTTTGCTTGCCTGTCGAAAGTATCAACACATGTACATACGATCGTATCTCAGTTGCTAAAAACCTGCCAAACTTGGCGATAAATCAGTTCGATCCTGAACAACAGCGAAACAAACCAAGGTAACCAACATCTCTTCAGATCCGCGGATAATTATCGAACCGCCGGGGCCATATGAGACAAACTTCCAATGGACGGACAGACAGGGAAGCGGTCGGGAAACACGAACAAGCAGGCTGCCAGAGGTGCACATGGATGACAGCTGCAAGTCAGAACCATCTGCACACGGCCGACTGGCAGCTTTATGGCGGATAGGAAAGCATGCTGCGTACCGAACAGACGAGCGTACCGCCCGCTGAAGTGGCAGCCAGTGCACCGACAAATACGCGGACAGCATGAGAAAGGGCTACCACCACCAGACAGCAACTGTCCGTATTTAGGTCGGTCCATGACATATTTCACATTAAGACAGCCAGCGGTCTCACTAAACCCGCTTACCAACAAACTACCGTGAGAACATTTGGCCGCCATGAACGATGGCTGCCACCGATTTTAGTCTATGGGCGCCATATTTCCAGTGCGGTATAAATCGCCTGGCAAGTCATCGCCCTGTTTGCTCACACAGTTCATTAGAACAGGGCACGCATGAGCAGAAGATCGCGTGAGAGCCGGTCTGTAATGTTTGAGGGTGACCGGTACATACAGGAATGTAGCCAGAACTACGACCATAATGTATTTATAATTCATATGTAGATCTTTTTCTTCAAGGGCAAGATAGATTGCCAAACCTCATTACAAACCATGAAGGTTGTCGATACGTTACATGCGACATACCTCAGGCAACTCAGCGCCGTCTGAATGACCGACTGATCGTTAGACATTCACAGCCGGCGTGCGGCCGCAGCGATCGGTCCAAGTATCCGCATGCGACGCGGTGCAGCGCCGCAGCCGGGGAGAGGGGGTCTGCACGCCCAGCTACGTCATTAGTGCGTCGCATCCGCCGGCCCGCTGGCGGGTGACGGCCGCCGGCCACCGGCGGCGGCGGCGGCGATCGCGCGCCACTTCCGCCGCCGCGCCGACGGCATAATGACGTCACGCACCAGCGGCCCTCCCCTCCGCTGTCGGCCTGGGACTGAGCTCCGGCCGGGCGGCCGGCCCCGGACACGGCGCGCGGCGTACGGCCGGCCAGGACCGGCCACCTGCCGGCCGGCGGACGGCCCGGAGAGGCGCGGCAGGCGCCTCTCCGGCCGGTAGGAATGGGTCGAGCGGGCACGGCTGGCTTTCGCTCAGAGATAAGAGGACAGACAGCGCGCACGATGTGAGCGATTTTCCCTGAGACAAGATCTGACTTTTGAGCAGACCTGTTTGGGTCAGTAATGCCTCATTCGCACGCGTTCGATTGGTTTCAGTTGTGTCGATCTGAATGGCACTTCATTTCTCCTGCGGTTCTAAAACAGATGGTTTTTCCACACCCGGAACTGGCAAAGGTTATTGAGGAGGGGCAATCTGCATATTCGACCCCGCTAGCTTTCGTCCTTTCTTTTTATCAACGAGTTGCAGGTTATTTCAAACACATCACTGGGAAGCCGAGAGCAGCATTGGGGAGTGGGAGTCTCGTCCAAAGAGGTGCAAACTGCCCCCCCCCCCCCCCCCCCCTCCCCCTGCTCGTGCAGCTACCTGCTTCGGTATTTTCCGGATTGAACTCAGAATGTCCAGTCCAGCCTGGCTCGCGAGTTTCATCGGAAGCAATCCAATAAACCGATGCGCAGCCAACCACAGACTAAATAATGCACGGCCAATACCGGCCACTACGTCGACGTCGGCAACAGAAAAGACCCTCCCCAATAGTGTAGGAACTGGAGGAGGCAGGGGTTCTGAGGCTTGTCCCTAACTTTCTAAAAATTTAGCACTGTCCCTTTGGCTGATGACTGCAAAAAAAAACATGATAAAACATGGTTGTCTATCCCCGCAATTCGGGGGAGCTGCTGAGTCCTGTTGCCCTGAGTTCCCGCCATCCAGTCACAGCCTGCTGACCGAGGGAGCTGCTGAGTCCTGTTGCCCCTGAGTTCCCGCCATCCAGTCACAGCCTGCTGACCGAGGGAGCTGCTGAGTCCTGTTGCCCCTGAGTCCCCGTCATCCAATCACAGCCTACTGACCGGGGGAGCTGCTGAGTCCTGTTGCCCCTGAGTCCCCGCCATCCAATCACAGCCTACTGACCGAGGGAGCTGCTGAGTCCTGTTGCCCCTGAGTCCTCGCCATCCAGTCACAGCCTACTGACCGAGGAGAGCTGCTGAGTCCTGTTGCCCCTGAGTCCTCGTCCATCCAGTCACAGCTTACTGATCGAGGGAGCTGCTGAGTCCTGTTGCCCCTGAGTCCTCGTCATCCAGGCACAGCCTGCTGATCGAGGGAGCTGCTGTTCCGTCACGCGGCGGCGACAGCGCAGGCGGCACACGGCTGCCTGACGTGGGGGGGGGGGGAGGAGGGAAGGGACGGCAGGAGGAGCTCTCCTCCACCGTCCGGAGCTGACCGCCAACCACGGAGAGCCGTCATCTGCCGGCCAGCCTCCGGCGTCGGCCGGCGAAAGTGAAGGAGACGGGCGCGACGGGCACGAACGCACGTCCAGCCGCTGCTGGCTAGGTCCGGCCGCTGATGGTCCGGTCCGACCGCTGACGGTCTGGTCCGACCGCTGATGGTCCGGACCGGACCATCACTGGCTAAACCGGACCGGCCGCTGATGGTCCGGTTTGGTCCACTGATGGTCCGGTCCAACCATTAAAGATCTAATCCGTCCACAGCCGGCCACTGACGACCAGTGTGGCCTGCAGCTGGCTGGCTTGCGCGAGTTCCGATACTATCCAGGTCAGGATTTTGAAGTCTCCCGGACATCGATTGTCCCAGAACTGCACTGACTGTCAGATGGCGCCATTTGCATGTCCCTGACGGCTCCGGCAGGCTAATGTGCGTCCGAGAGTTTGTCAGCGTCTGGACTGAGCGAGTCGGGAAAAGGCGGTGGCAAGGCGACACGCCTCGGCCGCTCAGGCGGACCCTCAACGCAAGGATGGCTTGCGGCTGGCGCTAGCTTGGAGGCTTCAGCCGTTAGAAACATTTAGGCCTCATATGTACTGGGTCGGTGAAGTCCTGGGTAGTGGCTACCATATCTAGCCAGGGTGTCATCTTCTGTGATTACGAACGATATACATCAGGCTTCAGTCAGCTGACTGCCAGGCAGTCCAGCCGAACCTCACTGGCTCTATTGACTGTTGCACCGAAAACTGACGAGCGTACAGACCTTGTCTTTATGTCCTTATCTCCCAATACCGTTTGATTCCTTGACCTGGATTGAACTGAGTGATGTCCGACAACGTCACATCTAACACGTTTGGGCAGCTACACAGTGTTTCGTGTTAAACTGGAAATTTACAGAGGTGCCTGAAAAAGGGAAACATTATATGTAATTCAAACCGAAATCGATGAATGAAACTAGATCTCTCTAAAGAAACGCGCAGTCAGTGAGGACTAAAATTTGACCACCTAGATTAAGATTTCTTCCGGCTAATGGAACTTTTTTAGACCCTCAGTGTAACAGATAAAGTCACAGCTCAGCTCCCAACCAATACTTTATTCCCACACCGATTCCACACTTTTATGACATCGTTCTCTTAGTTTGAGTTTCGCCAATGCTCGTTTTTCCTGGGACCAACGCGTGAGTAAAAATTTACAGAGTTGTGCACGAAGACTGTAGGTACTCATTTTGGTCTTGCTCAGACCACCACACAAATCATGTCACCACAACTGGCATGCTTCAAACAGCTGCAATTGCCGGTAATGACGTGGTCTGTTCAGGGTCTGGTCTGACTGCGCGGGTACTGCGTTCATGCCAAGAATGCAAACTGTGGGCCAGACCGCTGCTGCCAGAAAATAGGTCATATCACAGCATGCGATACGGTAGTGTGGGGACGCTGAAGACAATGCCACACAGTATACTACGTGCCTTGTTTGGGGGGGTGAGCATTTGCAGCCGTTTGGGCGGCAGTGACATCCCGACCCCTCAAGCCGAGACGATGAAAAACATGCTCTTTTGTATCCCGAAGTTGAGGCTGAGAAAGTTTCCTGCTGTGCTGTACAGTCAAAGTGTGGGCAAGAAAATGTAGCTGGAGCTAAAAACGTGGTAGTGCTGAACGTCGGCCTGAATACAGCGTTAGGCCGGACAGTCGTCCTAGAAGGCACGTTATTTGCCACATCAACTGTTAGCCACGTCTCCAGCCTTTAGCACGCACGTACCGCCGGTGCATCACCGCATATACGTGCTTAACGCGGGGCATTCTGTTGAAGCCCTCGCTTCTACGCAACACCATCCCGAAGAAGGCGCGGAGAGGGTGCTCGACCTCCAGCCTTCTGGCGCCACTGTTGGCTGCTGATGTGTGCTGTGACCGCCGGCGGCTGTGTGTACACCACCTGTCTGCCGGGCGGTGAGTCGAGAACACAAACACTTTGGATAGCGCTTCCGGGACGTAAGACCTGTGTGCCGAAGGTCCCAGACCAGAGCGTCAGTGATGTGACGGCTCAGTCTGAGCTCCCGTCACGGGGCGCGTGCCTGATGTCGTTCCGCGCCGTGCCCTGGACATGACCAGAGCGGCAGGGATGTGACGGCTCAGTCTGAGCTCCCGTCACGGGGCGCGTGCCTGATGCCGTTCCGCGCCGTGCCCTGGACTGACCAGAGCGGCAGGGATGTGACGGCTCAGTCTGAGCTCCCGTCACGGGGCGCGTGCCTGATGCCGTTCCGCGCCGTGCCCTGGTCTGACCACGGACGTCGCTGTAGCTCGAGCCTCAC